CATCATGTTGGCACTGAGAAAGTTTCAGATTTTGAAGCATTTTGGATTTTGGATTTTCATGTGAGGAATGCTCAGCCTCTATAGACTTAGAAAACCGGTGGTATCCAAAAATAGATTCTGTTTTAGTAATTAGAAAAAGTCACATTTCTTCTTAAGATAACCAGACCCATGAGATAAAAGCAAAACTGAGAACACAGGTGAAATGCCAACAAATATTATGAGAATGTTCTCACAAAAAATTTTCAACCCAGAAAAATTTCCAGGTGGATTTAGATGGAAGAGACTAAACAAAACTGAAATATCACCAACCAGGGACCAGCAGATGGTGTAATGATTACGTTGCTGGAATCTCATGTAGTCGACTGTGGTTCAACTCTTAGATCCGGTGGCTTAAAACTCATGCCAACCACGTGTACATGTGTGTACAAAATCTTGAGAGGAGAATGGAGGGGAAGGGATTGTGGCATGGCCATCCCCTCCTGTAGAGTGATTTCTTGCTTTCTATCTTTCTCTCTGGCTCTCCAGGGACTACACATGCTCTATAGCAAAAATTTCTCAAAAAAAAAAAAAAAAAAAAAAAGAAGAAAGAAAGAAATATCATTGGCCAGAGCATTTATCATTCATTATTTAGTTCAATTATTTGTTCATTTATTCAATTAACAAATATTTCTTGAGCTTCGATCATCAGAAAGGCACTGGGTAAAGCAAATATGATATGATGGGCATATGTTGAGAGCAAACTATAGCCAGGTGCTTTACAAACCTTGCATCAACTCAATGAAGTGTGTATTCTTATCTTTTCTCCTTTTAGATATGAGGCAGTGAACTTCACGGGGTTAAATAGGTTGCTCAAAGTCACACAAACAGTAAATGGCAGAATTAGGCTTCCAAACTCACCTCATCTCTGAAGTTCACTTCTCTATGGTGCCTGTAATCTAGTGGGGAAGTCAGAAACATTCACATTTACCTACCTATGGATCAGAGACTATAAAAAGCACTGTAAGGAAGTCTTCAAAGGTTCATGATAATGTGTATTTTTTTCAGAAGTTTTTGCTATAGGGCGTGTGTGCTCTCCAGAAAGACAGAGAGAGACAGACAGAAAGCAAGAAATCACCCCCCAGGGGAGATGGCCACACCTCAATCCCTTCTCCTCCATTCTCCTCTTGGGATCTTGCGCACGCACACACACGTGCCTGGTGGGAGTTTAAGCCACTGGGTCCAGGACTCAAACCGCGGTCGACTCCGTGGGAGTCCAGCAATGTAACCATTACGCCATCTGCTGGTCCTTATAATGTGTATTTTGACAAAACTATATATGATTTAAATTTTTTTGTATCAAAATAAACTTGTACTTTAATTCTCTTTTCCACAAAGAAATTTTTTTTTGTTTTTGGAGAGGTTTTTGCTATAGAGTGCGCGCGCTCACCAGAAAGACAGAGAAAGACAGAGAGATAAAAAGTGAGAAATTACGCCCCGGGGAGATGGTCACACTGCAATCCCTTCTCCTCCATTCTCCTCTCAGGATCTTGGGCATGCACTCACACGTGCCTGGCATGAGTTTAAGCCATGGGTTTGGGACTCGAACCACCGTCTGCTACATGGGAGTCCAACGACATAACCATTATGCTAACTGCTGGTCCCTCCACAAATTTTTTTGAAGTCCTTTCATGTGAGAGAGGATATGTGACGTGCCATGGAAGCACAGAGAAGAGACCTATTCATTCTGTTAGTGTCTGGGAAGACTTCACGAAAGCTGGCATCTGAGCTTGGCCGTGAAGATAAAGGGGGAAGAGCATTTTAGGTAGGGACACAAAAGTGCACTGCAGGTTGAAAGATTGCTTATAGTCCCACTAGCTGGAAATTTTGTTGTATTCATTTCAGACTACTTGGCAGTGTATCTGAACAATGCTATGGTCAGCAATCATTACAATTAAACAAGTCTTTTATGGAGTTAATTTCCTAGGCTTTGGAGTTAGGCTATTGGGCTTTGAATCTAGGCTCTGGCACTTAACAGTTTGGAAAATCATCTGAGTCTTATTTAGTCAAATGGTGATAATCATCACAGGCTATTTTATGGAGCAGATGAGTTGATACATGTAAACTGCTCAACTTAGTGTACTGCACATAATATGCACTTCATAAATCGTTTGTTATAAATATGGCATCACAGTAGCATCTCAGGATACCATTCAGTTATCGCAAGATTCTCTTGGTTGCCCTTTTACACCATGGCATTGTTTGAATGGAACTGAACTATACTGTGCAAGACTGTACCGGTTCTCCTATATACTTCAGCAGCATTCTCTCTTTTGTTGCTGGCTTACTGTTTTGTTAGGTCTCTTATCTCATACTCTCAACAGAAATAAAATATTGTGTATTTCAGAATCCATTTGGCTTTAGTACAATTTGGCAGATATTGTGCATGTTCAGGTATAGCAAAAATCTATTTCACCTATTCCTCATTTCCGTAGCACATAGAGGAGGGAGTAAACAGTGTACTTTGGCCTAAGGGGTTGAGAACCGACCATTCAGAGTGGTAGAAGGGGACATAAGGAAAGGGAGAGAATGGCAGGAGAAGTCTGGTATGGTCAGACTGGGAGGGACTTGAAAGTGCTGAGAAGTTCAGTGTGATCCTGTGTGGGGAACAAGCAGGGAGGGAAACAAAAGTAGAAGAGCAGCAGAATCACGCTTAGTTTGAGGAAGATAACTCGTGCATTGTGGAGGCCAGCTTTGCATCTTCTTTGTCCAACAAACTATACAACTTTCAAAACTCAGCCTTTGTGAAGACTTCTTGACCCTTAAGCTTGATTTTGATGGCCTTCAATATGTTCTCATGGCATTATGTGCATACATCTATAACAACAATATATCATAACTACTGACTTTATTTGGCTGTCTTCCACACTTTGATACCAGGAACCACATCTTATCCTTGCTGCCCAGCATCTAGTACAACACTTGCAAACATCAGGTTCCCAATAAGTATCTGTAGAATCAGTTGAGTAATTAATGAGCTAATAGAAGGACCCAAGGCAATTTTTTTGTATCATATATATATATATATATATACACACACACACACACATACACATACACACACACACACATACACATATACACACACACACACACACACACATATATATATATATGTTTTTTTAAAGAGATTTTTACTATAGGATACATGTGTTTGTAGAGAGAGACAGAGAGATAGAAAGTGAGAAATCACCACCCAGTAGGGATGGCTATGCTGCAATCCCTTCTCCTCTTGGGATTATGGGCATGCATGCACACGTGCTTAGTGTGAGTTTAAGCCACCAGGCCTGGGACTTGAACTGCGGTTGACTATGTGGGAGTCCAGTGACATAATCATTATGCCATCTGCTGGTCTCCCAATTCTAATATTATTACTGTAACAATCCATTAGCATTTCTTCTACCTGTAACTGTAATATACCTATTGGCATATTATTTGACAAAAGTTTATTTAAAAATTTGGTAACAGTTTATCTTTAATATTTTATTTCCAGTCTCTTCCTAAAATAATATGAAAATTAAATTCCAAAAGTACTGAAGAAGTTGACTTTTAATCATTTTTAAAGAATTAATTAATTAATTATTTTTCACATGAGTTTTGCCAGAGAAAGAAAAAGAGAGAGAAAGCAAGCCTCGAGGTCCGGGACTTGAACCATGGTCGGCCATGTGGGAATTCCAATGCCTTAACTACCACGACACCTGCTGGCCTAACAATTTTTAATTCATCTAAAATTAAGCTTTTTTCCCCCCTGTAGAGTCCTGGTATAATATACAACATATAGTGTCCTAAAGAGGGGAAAAAAATGCTATTTCTAATCACTTAATTTGTTTGATGGAATTACCAGTGGTCCACAAAGTGAATTAATGTGATCAGCAAACTCAAATGCTTTGTTCTGTAATTTATGCAGAATTCCCGATAAGTCTTTTAGAGTTTGCCAATATATCCAACGATTAAAAACATTAGGCCAAAAGGAATCCTCTATCTTTGCTTTTATAGTACAGGAGCAGTTACTGGAATAGAATCTATCCATTAGCCAAACGAAATGTTTCTATAAATCACTGTATTAATTGCTGAGTTAAAGACTTTGCCTGTGTCATGAAAAGCAAACAAGAGATGTTGCCCAAGAGATGAGTGTTCAGCTGATTTGAAAACAGCATGCTTAATCAGCCTTTAATCAAAATAGGTCTAGATGACAGGCTTTTTCTTTGGATCATTTAATTTTGACTTACTAAGACAATCAATTCTATTTGATTTTTCCTATTCTTATAGTATTTCTCTTCTCAGAACACTGTATATGGTTTAGGGCCTTATTTGATGAAAAGTATATGATTCCATCTTACTCCATTTTTCTTTGACTTTTTTTTGTTTCTGTACATCTTGGGCTTTTGCAGAAAGTGAGAGTAGTCTAAATTTAATAGAATTTCTTAATCTTCAATTAAAATTCTTTAAAAAATAATTATTTAATTTTATTCATTATTATTATTATTATTATCTTTTTATTTGATGAGAGAGAGAGAGAGAGAGAGAGAGAGAGAGAGAGAGAGGAAGAAAGTGAGAAAGCAAATGACCAAGTCCAGGACTCGAAAATGGTCGACCATGTGAAAGTCTGGTGCCTCAACCATCACATCATCTGCCAGCTCCAATCTTAAATTAAAATTCTAATTAAGGTTGTGGTGGGCCAGCAGGTGGCAAGGTGGTCAAGGGCACTGGACTCCCACAGGACCATTCATGGTTTGAGTCCCAGACCTTGCAGCTTGCTTTCTCACTTTCTCTTTCTCTCTCTCTGGTCAAATTAAAATAAATAAAGTTAAATATAAAAAAAATCTAATTAAGGTTTTTCCAGTGTATGCAAGCTAGTACAACAAAAGCAGTACATTTTTGCATATACATGCTAGAAAGAAGAGTCATCAGGATGATTTAGAAATTGAATAAAAATCAAATGCCCTTCTAAAATGTTGGCCTACCTTTTGGAGATACTTTGCTTTTTCTTCAGATTCCTGAATCTTGAGGGCTTCAGCAATGACGTCTGTATTCTCTAAAGGAAATGAAGTCAAATTCAATCTGAAACAATTTTATCATCTTATAACATTGATAGGAAATTTGGTAACACAGACTAGGAAGGTAAGCACAAATACACACTGGGTCTTGAAACTTTATAAGCCATATTCATAAATAATTGGAGACTGAGTTAGTGATCACCGCGGGGACCTCTAATTATTTATAATATTTTTCATTGATTTAATTTTTAAAAATATTCTTGAGGTTTTATACATTTTCATATGAGACAGGTCTTACTATGTTGCCCAGGCTGGCCTTGATCCTCCTGCCTCACTCTCCTGAGTAACTGGGTTACAGGTGCGCTCCACTGTGCCCAGCTTTAATGATGAGTAAAGCCTGAGTACAGAGACAAGAAAACGTCTCTAAGAGAATGCATCTGTAGTATCAGAAATTCCGATTTCTACAATTCTATGCAACCTGCTATAGGAACATAGGCATTGTCCTCTGGATAAATAGGATGGTGCAGGCAGCAGATGTAATTCAGAAGGTTGTGCCATCATGTAAAGTTGTACTCTAGTAATTATTACCTATTGTCTGAAGATTCTTTCAGGTTATTGGGACCAGCAGTTAGCGTAATGGCTATGTCGCTGGACTCCCATGTAGCTGACCGCGGTTCAAGTCCCGGACCCGGTGGCTTAAACTCACGCCAGGCACGTGTATGTGTGTGCTCAAGGTCCCGAGAGGAGAATGAGAATGGATTGTGGGGTGGCCATCTCCCCTGGGGGGTGATTTCTTGCTTTCTGCCTCTCTTTCTCTGTCTTTCCAGTGAGCGCGCGTGCCCTATAGTAAAAATCTCTCTAAAAAAAAGATTTGTTCAGGTTATTGAAAGGCATACAACTGGATACTCAACTGTTGTTCTCAAGGGAAAAGGGTGGAAAGTGACATTTTTCTAAAAAATACAAAAGGGAAGTAAAGTAATTGCTGGAAAAGGCCATGGCACTAAAGGTTTTTGATTTTCAGTATATATATGAGAATTGTGGGGAGGGGAAGAGGGCAGCAGGTGGCATGGTGTTTAGAGTACTGGACTCCCACATGGCTGGCTGTGGTTTGAGTCCTGGACCTGGTAGCTTGCTTTGTCACTCCCCCTCACCCCCTTTGATGACTATAGTAAATTAAAATAAAAAATATTTTTAAAAATTGCATAGTAAGTTTCCACATCTTGAAACTCACTAAGGGCTTACAGATGAATTTCAGACTTCAGCTTTCTCTGGGACTTTCTTGTTTGAAGTCAGTTATGTAAACTACTATCCTTTCAGCCAACATCTAACATCTCCAATTATTCTATATTGTTTGACGAACAGGTGCCATAATTAGGGGGTATTTACAATGCACCTTTTGATGTAACCAAGATACCACTGATCCTTTTTGGGTTTGTTGGGAAGATTCAGGAACTACTTATGTGTTTGTTCATGTCTAAAACTGTTTGTATATACCATTCAGACATGTGGAATGAAAGATTCCTATTCCAGAAATAGGTGGGGCAGTTTCTCCAGGTTGGTTACAGTGAAGGCAGGTATTACCGGCGGTGTTAGCCACTCCACTCACCAGGCACACAGATCTTACGGGGCCGCGCCACCGGCAGACGCTGGCTGCTACCTCTGCCCGGCACCAGCTGCGATTCGTTAGTGGGGTACATCGACGCCGCGATCCAGAACTGCTTAGCTAAGTTGGTATCTTCCTCCGAGGAGCCGGCGAACACTAGTAATCCCGGGGAGCAAATTTCCTGGGACTCGTGTGGGCTGCTAGGACCTCCGCAGGGCCTCGTTTCCATGGCGACTCAGGACGCTTTGCCAAGGTCCCTCGCTCCTCCTTCAACCCCGCCCCTCCGAGAACTGCCTGGTTGGTAACAGCCCCCGCTGCAGCCCTGGTTTCTCTCAGGTGTTGGTGTCCCGCGCGCGATTTGAAGCCTTCTGAAGCCCACTTCTGTGAACATAGGCTTCGGGGGCCAGTCCAGCCTCGGAGTCGGGATGGAACAGTCAAAACATCAACTTTGGGTCGTGTTTTGTCCTGTTGGTGTCAGTGAGGGAGCATTTTAACCTCTTATAATCCTCAGTCTTCCATACCCTCCCCACACAAAGAAGATACCTAAATAAGCTTTAAATTCTTTACCACCACTGCCCCAGTACCTCCTTCCAGACCAGATTGCCCCAGTTTGGCACACGCTACGTGGAAGTGCTGGGACCTGAGTTGGATAATTCAACAGGGCTGCCCTGATTCTGCTCTATGGGCACTAGAGGCCTGAACTGGGCTGCAAGTACCCATGTACAGATTTTGTGATTTTTCTACGCCTCTACCCCGCCCCCCCCTTTTAAGACAAATCTTAGGTAACAATTTGGACTTAAATTGTAATTGCATTTATTAATCATTCCCGCTAAAAGTTGAGTGCAAAAGTCATTTTAAAAAAAGGAGATATATCTAATAAGGAACATATCACTTCATGAGAAATAAATTAGGACAATTTTTGCTAATATAGTTTAATAAAAGTATTAATGCGCACGCGCGTGTGTGTGTGTGTGTGCACGCGCTAGCAAATGGCTCTCCCAGGAGAGTTTGTCAATCTAGGAAGAATTTAACTGTTTTAGCAATAGAAAAGTTCAAGTTTTTGTGGCAATAACTGAGATAAACCCATAGTAACCACAATTTATGTCCTTATGGCACTTTATTCTTTAAAAATATTACTAAAATATCTTACAGAAAGATAGCTCGAAAGTTGATAATCATAATATAACCAGATCAATCATCTAAGGGGAAAAATATCAGATACAAGATAACCTATTTTGGTTAAGAGCCTGAAGGGATATAGAAAAAATATATCTACACATACATTTTACATTGTATACTTAGAAGCTAAAATGTTGGTTTTTCTCTTGATCAGTTGATTGGCAAGGGATAATATCAGCATATTCCAATACCCTTCTCCCCCAAACATAGTGATGTTGCACAGGCAGCTCATTTGGATGAATTACCAAATCTTTTTACCTGGCCGTGTGGTTAGTGATTGGTACTATTAGCAATCAGCTAACTACACTGCCTAGTAACTAGACTCACAGAAAAACCCTGCAGTCTCGAATTGGTGCCTCCGCACGTTGTGACAGGCAAATCAGGTTAAGTTGTAGCTCATTTTAGCTGCTGGCTTGGCGAATGCCCTACTGAATAAACTAGGCACAGTGAATCCTAGCATACATCATTGACCATTACAAGTGTGTGTTGGGGGATGGGGATCCCCTTATCCAAGCAGTTTAAATGTCTTTGTATCGCACTACTAAAGCCATTAATCTGCACGGATTCCGTTTCCCTTCCGTGAGACTGTATGGTCTTGCTTTATACTCAAGATCTCTAGCACACTAAATGCTTGGAGAGGCCCGCGCGTTTCCGAGGGTCTACTCGCCCTTCGACACCGTGCCAGCTTGCCAGCGCCGCGCCGCGGACAGACGCTGACGCAGCCCATCCCCAAGTGCCAGTTCTCCTCTCCCACGCTGTGGGGCGGCCCAAGCCGGCGTCCTTCTCTCGGCGGGGCGGCGGGTGATGCTGTGCCTTGTTTTGATGGCAGTGGAGTTAGTGATTGTAAACAGCACAGTACAATCAGCTAATTACACTGCCTACAAACCGAGCACCGGGCGCCCACGGCTGCAGCTCCTGTACGTCCGCAGCACCGACGCGGTGTCCCCAAGCGGGAGGGCCGCGGGGTCCGGGCCCACCTCCGTCGTCCTTTTCATTGGGGGCGACACTTGACAGTGGCTGGGCGCAAGGATCAGGGTGAGAGTCTCCGGAAGACGCCTCCAGGCTAACCGGCAGCCTCGCGGGATTAGTCGCGCACACTACACGGCCGGCGGGCGGCGCTGCCGCAGGGCACCCGCATCCCCCGGGGCCTCGCCACCGTCCCAGGTGGCCCCTGGGAGCTCCCGGCCTCCCCTCCTCCGCAGTCTCCCGCACCTCCCTGGGTCCTCCCGCTTAGTTCTCCCCTTCGCTTCCACCCGTGGGCCTCCCACCTCCCTCAGGCTCAGTCCGCCCGCCACAGAAAACTTCACTTCCCAGCCATGGAGCCGGCTCTCGACCGCGTGCGCCCTGCAGCTCCAGGTGGCCGAGTGACCGCCGGTGGGGGAGGTGTCGGTGGGGCAGAGAAGGGGGTTTGGAGAAGGGCCCGTGGGCGGGCCCAAGTGAGGCCTGGGGGAAGAGGCCCTGAATATGGAGGCGCAGATCCTTTAGAAATTTCTCTTTTTGATAGGGCGGGAGAAGTAAAGAACTCTTTTTCCCCACCCAAGTTCCCCAACATGTCCACTAGCCCACCCAGTTTTCATGCCCTATCCACTCTGGGAAAACAGCTTCCCGGGCACCTCGGACTGTAGATTTGAACTTTCCACATAGAGGCAGACCAGGGCAGCCTCTAACATGCAGGGGGACTGCCTTCGAGAGAGTCCCATCTGCACTCAAGTGATCCTCTGGGGAGTTGACCTTATGCTCATAGAGGGTCATGTGTTGAGGCAAAGGCTGGGTCTCTCAGTCAGATAGTGAACTGGCCAACTCATTAGATCAAAGTGTGGCCCTTGTTCAAGGTCATGGTTTTGAACTCTCAAAGTCAGTCTTAAACAAAACTATTCATATTTATTTAATTACTTGCTATATGTTTAGCACCTAAGGTATTCGTCCTGCCCTCCATTTGTACGATCTAGTGACAAAGTGGACACATTATCTGCCATTATATTACTACTGTAGTAATATATTACTAAACTGGCTAGACTCTACTGATAGAGGGGGTGTCAGTGAGAAATGTAATAGGTCAGAGAATGTTCATGTTAGCTTGGGGTAGGTCTTTGAAGCAAGAGTAAATCTGGATGCTAGAGGGAAAGGGCTGTGGAGACCAGAGAAGCAACATCTTGTGACAGTTAAAATTTCTTTTTGTGCAATTCCACCTCTGATAATGTAGACGTGCTTGTATGTATTTAGAGTAGGCTGGCCAAAGGGGATAGTTAGGGAAGATTGCTGGATAATCTCTACTAATAATTATTTCCTCTTTTCAGTGAATAGAGGATAAGAAATATGCTTCTTATCCCCACTTTGTGGAACTCAATTGGAAGTAGCCCACCTGCCCCCGACCCCTGCCAGTGAAACAATCTGGTCTTCATACACCTACTACTGAGTACTCATTGTTTCCCCCCCACCCCCCAGGGCTCAGCTCTAAATTACTTTCCACAGAAGAAAACTTCTCATCTATAGATTGATTTCTTAAAAACAGCAAATGGTCTCAGATGTCACTAGTAACATGAATAAGGACAGGTTATCTGGATCGCTCAACCCAATGTAAACTATTAAGACACCCAAAGAGCTTTCCAAGGATGAGTTGAGTAAGTTACATTATCTGTGAATATGAATGACAACATATTTCTTGTGAATGCATCCTTTGTTCTGTAAACACCAAAGTATAAAAAAACCAAAATATAAAGAGTACAGTACAGAAAATGTTAATTGTAAAAAAAAAATTAGCTTGAAAAAATTCATTTATAACTATTTTGCATGCATTTTACCTTTGGAAGAGTCACAGTGTTGTAGCATACATTACACACACACACACACACACACACACACACACATATATATGACTCACACATCTAACTATACATACGTAAATAAAACCAGGAGTGAAATAGTCTCTATTTCATTAGCAAAATGCAGACTTAGAGATCTTGGTTAGGTCATAGTTATGAAACCAATTCTGTTCTTTCAAACTGTTAGTCATTCCTACCCAATACCACTACGCAAATACCATATTTAATACTTCTTCCCCCTTGATGTTTTATGATTATTAGTTGCATCTTAAGTATCTTACCTGAACTGGATTGCTGCCATCCAAGGCAATGGTTGCGTTAGATGCCTTGAAAATTAGATTTTTAAAAACTTCTCTTCGAAGGTAATTAAAAATAAGGAAAACTCATATACAAAAGTCATCAAGCTGTGTTGCTTCCTGAAATAATATTTTTAATGCAGTTTATTTTGTATGTAGTACAACTAAAAAAGTAAAATAATGACAAAAATGTGTGGCCTAATTCTGTTTGGAAAAAAGAAGAATACTTGTTCTTAGGGTTGCTGTTGATTTGGCCTGCAGTTACTAGAGAAACTCCAAAGATCTCATTGCCTTTATGGTTCATGTCTAGGCATGCCTGCAGACCAGAAAGACCCATGATTTAATCTAAGTAAGAATGCTTGTAGTGTTTTAAATGCCCAAACAGAAGATCGCATTTGTTTTAGACAACACCAGGAAGGCACATTTCAGGGAAAGGTGCTGTTTCAATTTCTGGGCTTTTGGTCATGAGGGAGATGGAGAGAAGGTGAAGGCGGTGATTAAGAAGCAACCAAGAAGAGTTTGCAAAACAAATACCTCTGCTTTAGCTTTGGAAAATTAGTGGCTTAATTTACCACTCCTAGATAAAAGACTAGAGTAATGGGAGTGGGAATTACAAAAGGTGAAGACAATATACTCCCTCCCGTCAACACGCACAAACCAACCATCTGAACATTTCCTACCTTGCAGTTTTTGAAGGATGTTGTTAGGAGTGGTAGAAGTAGAGAATCAAACTGATTCGAAATTATTGGATTTTAGCAAACTCTTTTTAAACCTTAAAAAATGCATGTTTTCTCCTAGGACATATAAGACCATGTTTTTTTCCCTCTCATTAACAGTGACATGCATTTGCAAAGGGATAGATGAGTCTAGGACTATAACTTGTAGTTAAGGGAATAAATGCTAAATAAATCAAACAGGACTGAGTTTAACACTGGTTAATGACTCACAAGTCCAGCAAACTTAAGATTCTATTTAAATGCAATTTTAAAACTACCTTGCCAATTTTTAAACTGTTATAAGCATAAATACCCTCATTTTACAGGTTAAGTTTAGCTAAACCAATAAGATGAACATACAATCAGATTTTCAAGTTTTACCCTTATTGACGAACTTTGGGGCTTTGGCAATCATATCCAAGTGTCTCATTTTAACATGAAGAAATGCAATTCTAAAGACTGTTACTTGTAAAAGTTCATTTCAGCCGTTTTCATATTTTATACCATTTGATCATTTGATACAGATTTAATAAAAGGTAAATTATGTCTGGTGGTTCCCCTTCTTTCTGTTCTTCGTCCTTGTTCTAAAGGGCCAGAGGCTTTATATTTTCCTTTTTCTGTGGTGCCACCTAGGCTTAATGCCTTACCCAAACTCCAGACAGATCACCATCCTTTGTCTTTTTATGGATAACTCTAAAGAAGAAATCCTTGAAAGATGGTGTTTTAAGGGAATAAAAGTCTTATATTGGGAGGCCAGCTGTGTAGCACGGTAGCTAAGTACTGTGCGGAGGAAGCCAGATCCCACATGGCTAACCAGAGTTCAAGTCTCATTCCAAGTATTCTACATACTGGGCATGCACATGTGTACCCACAGTCCTGATGGGTTGGAAAACATGAGGGAAAAGGCTTGTGGAGTGGCCAGGTCCTGTTGAGAGATGCTTTCTTTCTCTTCTCTCTCTCTTTCTTTCTCTCTCTCTCTCTCAATCTAGCTTTTGTGCATATACATGTGCCCATTGGCGTAATAAAAGAAAAAAAGTCTTATAATGGGAATTTCAGACAATTTCTCTTCAAAGTAACAGAGATGCTTTTGTTCTTCTGGTTTCAGCAGTGATTTTCTAGTCCCCTTAAATCTGACATTAGCATAGGCCCACCCAGGTTGTACCTTCTGCTAAATTCTAATCCTTTAGATGGACAGTACTGCTTAGATGTTTAATTGCCGCTAAAAACCCAGTATACCTCTATCTGAATTAATTATCATTCATTTTATACTAGCTCTTCCACTGAACTTTTTAATGCTTTCAATAATTTAATGCTTTCAACATTATCCTCTTGGTGAGTAATGCTTGAAACTTAAGAATAAATTTTGAGTGTCCCATTGCTTAGACTTGTATCCATATAGTCATTTGTGTATATCACTGATATTTCCCCTCTAAATGAAAAGCTTCTTGAAAGGAAAGTTGAATTTTGTTTTTCTTTTGGTCTCTTACCACACTCAGCAGTGACTAAAATGTAGCAGATGCCAGTAAGTAGACACCAAGTGCACAGAAGGTGTAGTTGTCATTAAGGTAAAGGAGGTGATTTAAATGAGGTGTTTACTATCACCATAAACGAGTAACTGAAGGAAATCTTGCATGATGTTTAGTTTCTGTTTCATTGTTCCTTCATGAAATCTAAGTACATTGTTATTCTGCTGTTCTATTCATAACTTAAAAAGGCCTGCCTGGGCCTGCTGAAAATGCTAGGAGAGGGTTCAAAACCCCATCACATAATGTTGCTTCCCCAACTCAAAGCACAATAGAATAATATATCACCTGGGAGAGTGAAGTAATGAAAGAACTGTTAAATACCTGGCACCATTTTAATATTGTAAATGTAAACAGTAACCATTTGAAAAGGAAAAAAATAATGGGTATTTGCTAATGCATCAGTTGCCTTTACTTCAGAATCACATTTTATTTCAGCAATATCGAGGGAGTTGTCCTGATTTTCAGTTTGTTATTCCTAACATAAATTTGAAAAATGATCTTTATAAAAGCTACCCCATAGTAATCTTTGTTAAGTTTAAGGCATTATTAAGCAATCAAAAGTATAAAACAGGGTTGGCCCATAGCACAGCAGCTAAGTGCTGTGCATAGGGAGCTGGATTCCATATGGCATACTGCCGTTCAAGTTCTGTGGTAGGAAAAACATGCCAGGCATGTGTGCACGTGTGCCCCAAATCCTGACAGAAGAGAGAAATGGAGGAAAAAGGATTGTGGCATGACCACGCCCCATGGGTGGGGGGTAGGGGGTGCTTTATCTATGGTGAGTGTATGTGCCCTCTGGCAATAAAAAAGAAAAAAGTACAATAAATTAGCAATCTCTTTCACAAGAGATATCTGTCATAATGATCATCCATCTTGCTGAACATGAGAATCACCTGGAGAGCTTTAAAAACCCTGATGTTCAGGTTGCAATTTATATGAATTAAATTAGAATGTCTGGGGATAGATGACAGGAATATTTTTAAAAAGATCTTTAGATGATTTCAAATATAGCAGAATGCCTGAGATTGAGTAAGAGGAATGAGCAATATCATGGATAGCTGAAATAAAATATGGTGGAGATGGCAGCTCATTCAGGTTCATGTCTTACCTTTATTTTTATTTTTATGTTTTGGGCATTTAGTAGACATTTAAATATTTACTGCATTGAATTAAGTCTTACATCATGTCATTCTCAGATCTCAAGGTGATCTGCCATCCATTTCAATAGTTAACCATTTCTCATACCTCTCAAGCACCGAAGATATCACAGTAGCTAGCTCACTCTCTAATATCTACATTTCATCTCAGGTCATCTCTAGTGCAAATTATAACTATTACACCACTCAGCATGCCAGGAGTGATCCATTCTCATATTCTACTACCACTACTGATGAGTTTGTATTCCAGCCAGTAGGTGAGTAATCCAGTTCTACAATCTCATTTTAGAGTCTGCTTCCTCTGGGACACTCCCAGTGCCAGTTGTCTTAGATTTGGTTCCTTAGAAACAGACTCTAAAATGGGACTTGCATGTAGAAGGCTTACTGGAGGGTGCTCTTTAGAGAGATATACCTTAAGTAGGAAGTGAGAAAAGTAGGGTCTGGCAGAGGGAGAGGTGATCAGTGATGAAATTGCCCCTAGGATCTCTGCCTATCTCTGGGAAGCTGTGGAGATGGGAAAGACTTCAGTGTTGTTGCAAATTGAGATAAGGGCCAGGTTTTTGTGCAGTCATATTAGCCAGCCAGTAGTTGCAGTGTATACCTTGGAAACAGCCATAACTGGCCCCCAGAAGTGGGAAATCTGAATCTGGTATTTCCAGTAGTTGGGGAATAATGACATTGGCCTTGAAGAGAGGAACTGGTTGGAAGACCATGGAAGACCACTACGATGTTCAAACTGACTGACTTTGGTGAATGTGAGTTCTTCTAATGTTAGTTCCTGTGTCTTTTGACAAGTCCCCTTTAAAAAAAAAATTGCCAGAGGTCACATTTGCTTACAGGGGAGATACAGAAAGGCAGGGAAAGTGAGAAAGCACTCTCTATGGGGAATGATCATGCCATAATCCCATCTCCATTTCTCTCTCCTATTGGGATTTTAGGCATTCACACACATGCACCTGGCATCTTTTGCTGTGATTTTCAAACCATGGGGTTGGGACTTGGACCATGCAGGTCACATGGTATCCAGCTGCCTTAACCACCATGCACCATGCACAAGCTGGCCAGATCTGTGTGTTTTTTTTTTTTTTTTTTTTAAATAGCTTTCTTGCTTTCTGAAATAATACAGTTCAAGCTCATCTAATATATTATCTGAACTAGAACTGGAATCAGCTATTTCTTCAAGAAAAAAGTTTAGGGAACCAGCAGTTAGCGTAATGGCCATGTTGCTGGATTCCCACGTAGTCGACTGCAGTTCGCATCCCGGACCTGGTGGCTTAAAACTCACGCCGGGCACGTGTGCATGTGTGCCCAAGATCCCGAGAGGAGAATGGAGGAGAAGGGATTGCAGCATGACCATCCCCCCTGGGGGGTGATTTCTCGCTTTCTGTCTCTCTGTCTCTCTCTGTCTGTCTGGCGAGCACACGCGCCCTATAGCGAAAACCTCTCAAAAAAAAAAAAAAAAAGAAAGAAAAGAAAAAATGTTTAAAGTGGGGTGTGGTATTTAGAGATCACAAAATGAGTACTAGATTTTCCTATTGCTAATTGACTCTAGCTTTTTCAATGGGCAGAACTAAAACACACATTTTTAAAAAGAAACATCACTAGGTCATACTAAAATTGCCATTTAAAATTTAACACTCCATGATTGTACTTAATTTCTTTGATTTTGTACTTTTATCCCTTTTCCTTACTTTGAAATACTAGTTCATAACAACATTAAATATTTGCATTTCCCTATTCTATTGGGT